CTTTCCATTTCAGATTCGTTGTAATTAGGAAAATATTCGCAAAAGAAGGCAGAAGTTGTTGTTTTAATGCTTGCTGTTTTTATAGAACTCCTGCCTTGTCTGCACATTACAGGTCGTGTTCCCGCCCAAAGTTGGTTACATATATTGCCTCATAAAAGACCTGGAAATCCTTCAAATCTGCAAGTCGTGGTGGCCTCTGAAAGGTTGCATGTTCCTCTTTCCTTTGATGTATGTTGCATATTCAGATTCGTTGTAGTTAGGAACATATTTGCAAAAGAAGACAGAAGTTGTTGTTTCGCTGCTTGCTATTTTTCTGGAATTCCCGCTTTGTCTGCACATTACAGGTCGTGTTCCCGTCCAACGTTGGCTACATATATCGCCTTTTAAAAGACCTGGCAAGCCTTCAAATCTTCAAGTCTTGGTGGCATCTGAAAGGTCGCAAGTTTGTCTTTCCATTAATGTAAGTTTTTTATTCAGATTAGTTGTAGTTAGGAAAATATTTGCAAAAGAAAGCAAAAGTTGCTATTTTTCTGGAATTCCCGCTTTGTCTGCACATTACAGGTAGTGTTACCATCCAACGTTAGCTACCTATATCGCCTCATAAAAGTCCTGGAAATCCTTCAAATCTTCAAGTCTTGGTGGCCTCTGAAAGGTCGCATGTTCCTATTTCCATTAATGTACGTTTCATATTCAGATTCGTTGTAGTTAGGACAATGTTCGCAAAAGAAGGCAGAAGTTCTTGTTTTGCTGCTTGCTGTTTTTATAGAAATCCTGCCTTGTCTGCATATTACAGGTCGTGTTCCCGTCCAACGTTGGCTACATATATCGCCTCATAACAGATGTGGAAATCCTTCAAATCTGCAAGACCTGGTAGCATCTGAAAGGTTGCAAGTTCCTGTTTTCTTTGATAAAGTTTCTTGCTCAGTTTCGTTGTAGTTAGGAAAATATTTGCAAAAGAAGGCAGAAGTTCTTGTTTTGCTGCTTGGTGTTTTTATAGAACTCCCGCCTTGTCTGTACATTACAGGTCTTGTTCCCATCCAACGTTGGATACATATATCGCCTCATAAAAGACCTGGAAATTGTTCAAATCTGCACGTCTTGGTGTCATCTGAAAGAACGCATGTTCCTGTCTACTTTAATAAAGTTTCATGCTCAAATTCGGTGTAGTTAGGAAAATATTTGCAAACGAAGGCAAAAGTTCTTGTTTTGCTGCTTGGTGTTTTTATAGAACTCCCACCTTGTCTGTACGTTACAGGTCTTGTTCCTGTCCAACGTTGGCTACATATATCGCCTCATAACAGATCTGGAAATCCTCCAAATCTGCAAGACCTGGTGGCATATCAAAGGTGGCATGTTCCTCTTTCCTTTGATGTAAGTTTCATATTCAGATTCGTTGTAGTTAGGAAAATATTCGTAAAAGAAGGCAGAAGTTCCTGTTTTGCAGCTTGCTATTTTTCTGGAATTCCCGGCTTTGTCTGTACAATACAGGTCGTGTTCCCACCCAAAATTGGCTGCATATATCACCTTATAAAAAACCTGGGCATTGTTCACATCTGTAAGTCTTGGTGGCATCTGAAAGGCCGCATGTTCCTCTTTCCATTGATATAAGGTTCATTTTCAGATTTGTTGTAGTTAGGAAAATATTCGCAAAAGAAGTCAGAGGTTCTTGTTTTGCTGCGAGGTTTTTTTTATAGAACTCCCGCCTTGTCTGCACATTACAGGTCCTGTTCCCATCCAACGTTGGCTACATACATCGCCTCATAAAAGACCTGGAAATCCTTCAAATCTGAAAGTCTTGGTGGCATCTGAAAGGACGCATGTTCCTCTTTCCATTATTGTAAGTTTCATATTTATATTCGTTGTAGTTAGGAAAATATTCGCAAAAGAAGGCAGAAGTTCTTGTTTTGCTGTTGGTGTTTCTATAGAACTCCTGCCTTGTCTGAACATTACAGTTCGTGTTCCCGTCCAACGTTGGCTACATATATCGCCTCATAAAAGACCTAATAATCCTTCAAATCTGCAAGTCTTGCTGCCATCTGAAAGGTCGCATGTTCCTCTTTCTTTTAATGCAAGTTTTATATTCAGATTAGTTGTAGTTAGGAAAATATTTGCAAAAGAAGGCAGAAGGTCTTGTTTTGCTGCTTGGTGTTTTTATAGAACTCCCGCCTTGTCTTTACATTACAGGTCCTGTTCCCATCCAACGTTGGTTACATATATCGCCTAAAAAAAGACCTGGAAATTGTTCAAATCTGCAAGTCTTGGTGTCATCTGAGAGGTCGCATGTTCCTGTTTTCTTTGATAAAGTTTCATGCTCAAATTAGGTGTAGTTAGGAAAATATTTGCAAACGAAGGCAGAAGTTCTTGTTTTGCTGCTTGGTGTTTTTATAGAACTCCCACCTTGTCTGTACATTACAGGTCTTGTTCCTGTCCAACGTTGGCTACATATATCGCCTCGTAACAGATCTGGAAATCCTTCAAATCTGCAAGACCTGGTGGCATATCAAAGGTGGCATGTTCCTCTTTCCTTTGATGTAAGTTTTATGCTCATATTCGTTGTAGTTAGGAAAATTATCGCAAAAGAAGGCAGAAGTTCTTGTTTTGCTGCGCGTGAGGCCTGGGTGACCTTCAACAAAAATATCAAAGTGATCGTTTAGGTCCATAAATCTAGAGACTTCAATCCCCTCCTCATGTGATCGCCTCAGCAATCTTGCTGGAAATGAATGACCATATAAGAACACTCTGGTTTGGCCTGACATGTCAAAATGTCACTGAATTGCTTATACAACTATAAAAACGGTACAAAAGGCAACAAGATATTATATATAAACTCTAAACTTTCGAGGATGGTGACGATGCTTGGCGGTCCAGAGGTGGTTGTCACCTACACCCTTACAGGCATCCTCAGTACCGCCAAACTGTCAACACCTAAATAGACAAGGAAAGGGGTTAACAATCTGGTGAGGTATTTAAACATTCCTCATCTTATACAACTAGGTTATGGCATTAGGCCAGGAAGACAATCGCTTGCGGATGCGTTCCGATCTGCGCAGTGCAGCCTGTTCGGGCTTATCGGCAGCGGTAGATGTACTGAGACCTGGGGCAGCACATCCACCGAAGCTTCCGCGTGATTTCTTTGGCCTTGCTGGTACTGATTCGTCGCATGAGGGTAAACCTCCAGGAGTTTTGAGCTCAGGATCATTTGAACCTATACCACGAAACGTTGGCACTAGGACTTCCCATTCTGAACTATCGTCAGAGTCAGTTGGGTCTGGATCATCACTTTCTGGTACTAGTGGAAGGCCAAGGGGAGGGTCCTCACAATTATAGTGAACTGTTTCTCCTCTCGGATCAACAATTAGCATTTTCCGATTCACCCAACGCTTTGTGCCACCAAAAGATGAACGTATGGCATACAAGTCGCCATCCTCATTGTGTTCAACGACCGTGTACTGATGGTCATCGTAATTGTCACTCAACTTATGTCGCTCAGTGAACGCACAACGCTTGAGAAGTACCCTGCTGCCGACTGGAAGTGGGGGCGCATGCGCACGCTTGTCGTAGCGACGCTTGCTTGCCGCTGCAGCCCGAGTGAGCCTATCTTTTGCAACTTTGTGGGCTTCCTTCAGTAACTTGGCCTGGCGTGCAACACTATCTTCGTTCCAGTTTCCGCGGGTGTTGTTTATCAACTGGTCCAATGGAACCGTTGGCTGACGACCAAACATCAAGAAATATGGGGTGAGACCGGTAACACTGTGAGGAGTGGAGTTATATATGAACACTAGATGAGGTAGTAAGTCAGGCCATTGTTTCCGATCCTTCTGATTGAGCGACTTGATTAAGCTACAAAGTGTCTTATTAAAACGCTCGGTCTGAGCATTTCCTTGCGCATGGTATGGAGTTGTCCTTGTTTTCTGGATATTGTACAATTTACACAATTCTTTCACTATACTGCCCTCGAAATTTCTTCCACGATCTGAATGTAGTTGCATTGGAATTCCATAGCAACAGAACCAATGATCTCGTAAGACCTTGTGGGTGCCTTTTGGTCCCTACAGGGCACAGCGACTGCAAATTTTGTGAAGGAATCGGTCATGATGAGGGCGTTTTCGATATTGTTTCGACCAGGATCAAGTTTTAGAAAGTCAATCGCTAAGCGCTCAAGGGGTTGAAAAGAAAGCAAAGGTCTCATAGCAGGTCGTACAGAGGGAGTGGGGCCCTTGGTTACGGCACAGTGGTAACAATTCCGAATGTGTTCGGGGACATGAACAACCATTCCTGGCCAAAAGCAACGTCTTCTCATAAACGCAAGAGTGCGGCCCACCCCTTGATGGCCCCATTGGTCATGTGAACCCTCAACAACAGAGGCCCGAAGAATTTTCGGAACAAGTAGCTGATATATGATTCCTTGACCTGGTTCCTCTATAAACCTATACAAGACCCCATTTCGCTCAGTCAGACAATGCCATTCTTTGAGCCAGCCCTTCACCTCGGGGGACGTGAAATAAGGGTTCGGCAATTCCTGGCCCGGTTTCCAATGCCTATCCCAAAGCAGCCAGACCTTGGCCAAGACATCGTCTTGTTTTTGGAATGTAGCCAGCTCTTCAAATGAAAATGAGGGCAGCACTGTGGGAGAAACGGCCGGACAGCCACTCCCGTTTCCTGTACACCTTGTCTCGGTGAATTTGTTGTCAGGATTTGCTGCATGTACATGTATATCTGCAGGCAGCAACACGCCTCCAGTCATGTGATTAGTCAATTCCTGCACATGGATAGCATCGGCAGCAGGAACTCGACTTAAGGCGTCTGCACATTTATTTGTGCGGCCTGAGCGGTACTTGATCTCTAAATCAAATGGGGCAAGCTGGGCAACCCAGCGTTGCTCGGTAGCGCCCAGCTTAGCTGTCTGAAGGTGCGCTACTGGATTGTTATCAGTGTCTTCGATGGTCTTTCTACCCAACAGATATTCCTTAAATTTATCAGAAACTGCCCACTTGAGAGCAAGTAACTCTAACTTAAAGCTGGACAGGTCACTGTAGTTTTGTTCTGGCCCACGAAGCCCACGACTAGCGTAAGCAACAGGATGAAGGTTGCCTTCATCATCACGTTGCGATAAGCAAGCACCCAATCCCTTTAACGAGGCATCAACCTCAAGGACGAAATCCCTATCAAATCTGGGGAACGCTAACACAGGTGCTACGCAGAGGGCTTGTTTCAAAGCTTTGAAGGCCTCGTCAGCTTCTGACGTCCACAAAAGCGGACCTTGGGCCTTCCCTGCTTTTTCCTGTGGCATAATGGTGAGCGCATGCAATGGGGAAGCAATAGAGGAGAAGTTTTTAACGTACCTCCTGTAATATGACGCAAGACCAAGAAAAGATCTCAGCTGATTTGCATTAGTGGGAGTAGGCCAATTTTGTATTCTAGATACCTTATCTGGGTCTACAGAGATACCTTGACTGCTTACAACATGACCAAGATGTGACACTGAGGTTTGAAATAGTTTGCACTTTGACCCCTTCAGCTTGAGGCCATTGTCCTCAAGCCGGGTAAACACTCTGTCAAGGCGATCAATATGTTCTGCAAACGTGGTGGAGAACACAAGTACGTCGTCCAAATACAAGACTACCTCAGTTAGGTTCAGGTCCCCAAAAATTAGTTCCATTACTCTTTGAAAAGTACTGGGGCTGTTGGTTAGCCCTTGAGGCAAGCGTAAAAATTCGTATAGTCCCCACGGCACACAAAATGCAGTTTTGGCAACCGAATCGGGGTGCATGGCTACCTGGAAATACCCATGAGTAAGGTCCAGAGAGGAGAACAGTTTTGCACCACCCAACGACTCAAGGGTTTCGTCGATCCTAGGCAGGGGTAATGCGTCTTTTTGAGTCTTTGCATTTAGACAACGGTAATCGACACAAAGTCGCAGTTGTCCGTTTTTCTTTCTGACAACGACGATTGGGCTGGCATATGAGCTCACAGACCTTTGAATGATTTTCCGGTTCAGTAAGTCCTGTAAAAGAGACTTAATTTCAACCATCTGGCTTGGTACTACTCGTCTATACGGTAGATTCACCGGATTATTATCAGTGAGCTTGATCTCATGAGGGATGAGATCACAACAGCCCAAGTCTAGTGGGCTAGCCGAAAAGGCCTTTGAATGTTTCTGAATCAGCCGCGCTGCTGCCTCAGCATCTTCGCCACTGAGGTCCTTTAAACTTTTAACCCAGGGGGTAAGACATAGTCTGAACCATCAGAGAACACAAAAGTCTCCCCGCCTTCGTTCAAAGGGTCTTCAGCCAAGGAGTCCCTACATTCCCAAACAGTTTTAGGATGCGACTGGTTGATATCCCATTCAGACTTATCGGCCACAACACGTGACACCGATACATTCACTCCATCATTTGTAAGCCCTACTGAAATTTCTTCAGAGCAGTTGACTGGAATAGCAACAGCTATTCTTGTGTGAGAGGACAACGAGAGTGGTTCATCACTTTCATTGACAACAAGCAATGAAAGAGGGGTCCCGTCCACTTGCTGAACTCCTTCAAGTACATAACACATGTCGCACTTTAGTTCGTTCTGGGAATTTTTAGACTTTTGACAATGTGTGCAGAAAGACTGTGATCGCAAGAGGGCGAGCATATTGTCTGCCTGGCCAGGGAATCCAATTACATTACAGCCAATTGCTTGAATTGACCTCGGAGGAATAGTCTCTGGTTCAAGGACCTCCAGGTCAAAGGTCCCTGCATACACAGCGGCAGTCGACACACCTTTGACACCATTCGAGTTACTGGTTTCAGTAGAATTCAACCATTTTAAGGCCAGATCCCAGTCAGACCCAGCTACAACGCGGTTCATGCAACTTCGATTCTGTGACACAAGTCTCAATACATTACACCCCAATAAAATGGGGTATGCTTCCCTACGTTGACGCATATCATGGTCTTGGCATGTGGTCACCAAGAAACTAGCTCTTATCTTCTGACCGAGTATTACCACCTCGGTCCTAAAGTAACCCTGTACTGGAATCTCTAGATTATTGGCACCCCTCAGATTAATGAATGCACTTGCGTCACCCAACTTTCCCACAGAGCACTTCAGGTGCCGGTGATAAAATTCTGAAGTAATCAAGGAAGTCTCTGCTCCAGTGTCAATTATGCAATGCGCATTCTTCCCCCCAATCTTTATTTCAGTGGTTGGGCATGGTGCCAAAAGCTCATCTCGCAGCCTCTTTGAGGAAACAAGATTGCGCTCTATCATTCCAGGGATGGGCACTGAAGTCCCCTCTGACACATTGCCCCCTATGGCAGAGGTGAGGCTTCTCCCGAGTCAAATGGCTGATCTGAGGAATTACTAACTACTGGCCCACTTGGTTTAGGGAAGTCAGATGTCTTTGCATCTTTCTTCCTCTTAAAGCACTGTGAAACTACATGGCCTCGTTTCGAACAAACGAGCACTGGAGATTTGATTTTTCCTGAAATTTTGGTTTGTCGTTAGACAACCGTTTAACAGCGTCCGTGAGCCGAATGAGTGTTTC